ATGACATTCAAAACCCCAATGTGAGTAGCATTCAAAAACAAATCTAATAGGGACCCAATCTAAGGCAACGAATTTGAGTAACATTAAAAACCCCAATCTGTGAGCATTAAAAACAAATCTAATAAGCATACATCTGGCATTGACGCAGAGAGATACCTATCTCTCATACAGATCTATCTAGCATTTTTTTCAATGAAATTGTCCAACAAACCCTAGTCCAAAAAACCTCCATCCCCACAATACAAAAAACCCCGGCCCATCCGTCAAACCAACTACTCTAACCATTTGAACTACCGTATGAATCACAATCTAACCAATGCAACTAGGGAGCAACTAACTCTACAAGCTAAGCAAGTGCAAATACCTGCTGCTCCACGACAGGCTGTGCATCGGGGGTATCGGGATGGGCTGCGCCACTCGACGTCGTCACCCTCTGCAGCGCTGAGGTGGAGCCCGCCACATCCTTCTCCACACCGTAGTGGTGGCAAGTTTCCCCGCACCGCCGTGGACGCCGCCGACATCCCCGGTCACCGCGCCCTGCAGCTTCACCACATCTCCGACCGTTGTGCCGGCGTCGCCACGAGGTTCGGTCATCTAACAGATGGGGGCGATGAAGGTGAGGAAGAGGATGTGGTGGGGGAGAGCGAGACGGTGCGGTGGAGGCAGTGGAGGAGAGCGAGACGACGCCGATGAGGGAGAGGAAGACGATGTGGGAGGGAGGGGATTTGGGGGGAAATGGTAGGGGCGATGGAGGTGGTTGCCCCTCTTTATATGATTGGATGTTTCGGGCATGTCCATGGACACGTGCTACCCCACGACCGCGGTCAGTTGCATGCGCCCACGTATACGCGGCCCCACTCGTCAGAGTTAACGGTCAAAGGCATTGACCCGACGGCAACGTCCGTTGTAACCTGTTCTGAGTGTTTCGGGCAGGGACTGGGGAAAAGTGAGCGAAAGTTAACAGAGTGGGGATAAATGAGTATAACTAATGAACCAGGGGCACAGAAATAAAAATCCCTTAATACGTTATTTAGAGCATCGCGCATGCACAAAATATGTATGGTACTCCCTCTGTTCCTAAATACTTGTCTTTTTAGAGATTTCAAATGAACTATCATATACGGATGTATATAGACATATTTTAAAGTGTAGATTCACTCATTTTACTTTGTATGTAGTCATTTGTTAAAATTTCTAAATAGACAAATATTTAAAAATGGTGGGAGTAGAAATGAAAGCTGAAAACGGAAGGACAGCCAAAGGTGCCGCCAAGTAGGAGCATCTCCCTTTCACGCGCACATGCAAAGACAGCGGAAGCGGTTGCTGCAGACACACGTCTCTGTGTGAAAACGTCGCGTGTTCCCTTGAGCTCCGTGCGTGCGTGCTCGATTTGCTCCTATTATCGTTTTCTTTCCGGGCCGCAGATGAAATGAAGGCGGATCAAACATGATGCTCGCTGTCTCAGCGTGCGGGCATGGTCCAGAGCGAGCAGTTGCCAACGTACCGAACTAGTCCCAGCCGTGTAGCAGCAATGTTTGGCTATTTTGGCTAGTCATTAACCAACCGTCTTCAGCTCCTGGGTTAACTTGGGAACCTAGAATTTTGGAGCTAATACTTCCTCCGTCCGGAAAAACTTGTCCCTCAAATGAATGTATCTAGCACCAAGTTAGTGCTAGATACATCTATTTGAAGAACAAGCTTAGGACAAGTTTTCTCGGACGGGGGGAGTATGAGATATCCGCGACGAAACCGCGTACTAGGAGCTCTGCGTTTGCCGTGTCATTTTTGGTGCGTGCGTGCGTGCAGCGTGCACCGAGTTCCATTTTGCGTGCGGTTTGCGCCCTCTTCTGCCCAGCTCTCCCCAAATCATTACTCGCCGGCCCGACCATCAAAAGGCACCGTTCGTTCCCTCAAAAAAAAAAGGCACCGTCCGTATATACACCGAACTTGTGCAAATGATCCATCCGATGTGGCCGAACAAAGGTACGCGATGCATGCATGTAGCAGCGAGCACAGGCAGCAGGTTCTCGGCATCTAGAACAGATTGACTGACAGCTCACCCTACTCCCGATTCCGACATACAGTAGTACATGAAATCTTCACTCACTCGCTGCTCAGTAGAGTACTGCATGCATTAGCAACATGATTCACGTGACACGGCAAGCAGTGCGCTCTCGGGGCAAATCCTCCCCCGTCCCGGTGCGCCGAATCCACCTGGCTCCCGTACCTTCCTTCCTTCCTTGTCGTACGGCCGCGTCTCGTTTTTAACGGGGGCGCATCCACTCCACAGACCACAGCACAGTTATTACTTGTAGTAGTAGTAGCTTGTAGTCCAGTGACCAACGCACTCGCGACGAGTCTCTCGCAACCGAGTGAGGTCTGAAATAAACCCTGAGGTTGTAGAAGCCGACGTAAATGAACCCTTACCTCTAAATCCCTGAAGTTTGTACCCCGTATTTACAGATCCCAGCCAATTCACACCTTGTATGAGTAAAATCCTGTTTGCTGAAATAGGAAAGGCGCAATCCCAGCCGGGATTCATTTTTACTGCCGCTTACTGCATGGGCCCATCTGTCATATGCATCTCCTCCCCCAATCTCCTCAATACCAACTGCAAGGAGGCGCGGCTGCACTAGAGTTCAAGGTGTTCGATCTGCTCCCAGAAAATGACCTACTTTCCTTGGGCACCGTTCTGAGCACCATGGCCGTGCACAGCCGATGGATCGATTCTAGCCGCCGGCTAATCGATGTGTTCAAGTACACAAAAGAAACAAACGGACGTCGAGAAAAAAGGCGAAGCTCGTACTCGGCCTTTGACGCCTCCTCCGACTTGACGTGCCCGTGCGGCATCGTCAGTAGCTGTCAGAAGACCCCTGCAACGTCCAGGAAGCAGCCACCGTGAGCGCGAGCAGCTGCTTCTCATCCGGCCCGTCCGCGCGCCTCTGAAGCTCCTCATCCGGCCCGTCCAGTTCGTGGACGGCGTCGACAACTGCGGTGGCGTGGGTACCGCCGGCGGTGTCATGAGCGGCTTGGTTGTCCCTGAACTTCGTGAGGCGTGAGGCTTGGTCGGCGAAGTGGGCCTAGACCACCAAACGCCGTCGTACTGCTAGTGCCACTCGCCGGCACAGCGCCGCGTACTGCCGCGGCTGGAGATGCTCCCCGCCACAAGCAGCCGCTGCCCTCGCTGGCCAACACCATGTACTGCTGCAGCTGCACGCCGCCGCATACTGCTACTGCTTTGTGCTCTCGCCGCCAATGCCCACATAGGAAGAGCAAATTCTCACCGTTGTACCTTGTGTTGTGCTCTCGCGCCGCATATTTGCTACTGCTTGTGCTCATGTCGTCCTTGTTGTGCTATGTGCAAAATAATCAGCATGGGCGCATGGCCCGCCCGTTCTCCAGCACGAGGTTGGCTCGTACAAGAACGGCGCCATATATATTGCCTGTCTGACTCTACGTCTGGGGTCGTCGTCCGGTGGCTGCCATCTTGTGCTGCTCTCCTCTGCTCAAGCTAGTCATGGTGAGATGGGAACTAGGAAAAATGGCTATGATGTGTTGACCCACACCACAGTGAGAAAAGCGAGTACCCGGCCAGGATTATGTTTTTCCCGGTCTACCAAACATATCTAAGGTTCGGATAAACCGGGATGAGAAAGGTTAGGGTACAGATTTCAGGGATTTGGAGGTGAGGGTTCATTTGCGTCGACCTCTACAACCTTAAGATTCATTTTAGACTTCACTCCTCGCAACCCAGAAAATCAACTTCTTTTTTTTTAGGGTACGAAAATCAACTTCTTGGCGCACGTGAGCTTCCGCTGTCATATCCAGCTCCAGGGCCGGAAGCCGGCTCGGCTCTATATAAAACCACAGACAGCAAGCCGACCGAGAGCAGAGCCACCAAAGGCAGCGCAGCGCTAGCGTCTTGCCGGGTCCATTTCTTCGACAGACCAACCAAACGCTCTCGCAGGACACGCACGGCCGCACCGCATGTCGTGGTCTGACACGGACGCGGCGCTCTTCGCGGCCGTCCTGGGCCACGACGCCGCGCGCCACCTGGCCACCACGCCGCCGCACCTCGACGGCCCGGCCTCGTCGTCGCCCGAGCTGCAGGCGCGCCTGTACGACCTCGTCGAGCGGGGAGGAGCCTGGACCTACGGCATCTACTGGCAGGAGTCCCGGGCCGGCGCCGGCGTGCTCGGCTGGGGCGACGGGCACTGCCGCGACGGCCCGGCCGAGCAAGCCGGGGCCACGGACAGGAGCCTGGCGCGTAAGCGCGCGCTGCTGCGGCTCCACGCGCTGTATGGCGGCGGGGACGAGGACGGCGCCGACTACGCGCTCCGCCTCGACCGGGTCACTGGCGTCGAGATGTACTTCCTGGCGTCCATGTACTTCTCGTTCCGCGAGGACGCCGGCGGGCCGGGCCGCGCGCTCACCTCCGGCCACCACGCCTGGGCCGCCGTCGATCCCCACCTGCCCGGCTCACCCGGGTGGTACGTCCGTGCGTCCCTCGCCCAGTCCGCCGGCTTACGCACCGTCGTCTTCCTCCCTTGCAAGGGCGGCGTCCTTGAGCTCGGTTCCGCCGTGGCCATGCGCGAGAACCCCGAGGTCCTGCGCGCCATCCAATCTGCCTTCCACGTCGAGTCCGCCTCGCCGGACGATCACATGAGGATCTTCGGGAAGGACGTCTCCCGCGGCTCCCCAATGCCGCCAGCGCAAACCACGGGGAGCGACGCCAGTTGGGCGCTGCGGCCAAGCAGGAGGTGGCGGCGGTAGTCAAACCGAAACCCCAGCAGGAGCCTCCCAAGACCATAAGCTTCAGCAACGCCGTCGACGCGCAGAAGCAGGCGGGCGGCGAGGAGCGGAGGCCGCGGAAGCGGGGGCGCAAGCCGGCGAACGGGCGGGAGGAGCCCCTGAACCACGTGGAGGCGGAGCGGCAGCGGCGGGAGAAGCTGAACCAGCGGTTCTACGCGCTGCGCGCGGTGGTGCCCAAGATCTCCAAGATGGACAAGGCGTCGCTGCTGAGCGACGCCATCGCGTACATCCCGGAGCTAGAGGAGCGCCTCCGGGGCGGCGCGGCGGGGCCGGCGCCGGCGCGGGCGGAGGCCGGCCCGTCCGTGGAGGTGAAGGCAATGCAGGACGAGGTGGTGCTGCGCGTGAGCACCCCCCTGGACGCGCACCCCATCTCCGGGGCGCTGAGCGCCATGCGGGACTCCCAGCTGAGCGTGGTGGCGTCGAGCATGGCGGTGGCGGACGACACCGTCACGCACACGCTCGTGGTGCGGTCGGCGGGCGCCGACCGGCTCACGGCCGAGACCGTGCTGGCCGCGATTTCCCGTGGGGTGATGATGAGCGCCACCCCCTCCCCGTGACCGTGCAGCTGTAACAATCGCGCGGCTCGTGCCGTGGTACGTACGGGCAACTGTCAACTGTTAGTGTAAGTTTAGGTGAGCATGCCACGTGGCGCGCAGGAGGAAGGTGAAACTCCTTTCCTCAAGTGGCGGTATCCCAGATTGCCAGTGATAGTAGATTCATGTAGTGCACTGGTTGGTTATCGGTTGGGGCGCCGCCCGGTGGCGCCTCCTGAGAGAAAGTTGGGGCGGTGCCAGGTGGATTGCATCCCTTATACTCACTTGTTTGTACTCCCTCCGTTCCTAAATACTTGTCTTTCTAGGCATTTCAACAAATGACTACATACAAAACAAAATGAGTGAATCTACACTCTAAAATATGTCTACATACATCCGTATGTAGTAGTCATTTGAAATGTCTAGAAAGACAAGTATTTAGGAACGGAGGGAGTACTATGTAGTGTTATTGCATTAGACTCAAAGTACAACAATATAAAATTTGGTGACGGGAACAATAAGACAGAGCTATACAACACATTCAAAGAATGGATCCGCCTTAAAAGAATAATAATGACATCATATATACTACACAAAAGCAATAGTTTTATTGTTTAGAGGACTGATCGCATACAATATCGGTGGTTCAAAAGTGACCAAATGATAGTACTTGCTAATATAAACCACCAAGTGATTCAAAAGGAACAACACCACAGAGGATATGTCAAGAACAAATCAACAAGAGCAGCATGCGGAATGACCCGTCGATGATGTGCAACATCCTAATCCATGGAATGACCCGTCGATGATGTGCAACATCCTAATCCATGGAATGACCCGTCAATGATGTGCAACATCCTAATCCATGAGAGCGTCTCTCCTCCTGTAACGCCCGATGCTAGATTAGTCCCCTAAGAGGCCCCAACTGGGCAATGGAGATGAACGGCTTCTGGCAAGGCAAGAACACAAAACATGAATATAGGAAGAGGCAGAAGCAAGGAGAGGAGAGGGACCAAACGACAGCAGCACTTACCTTTTATCTGCTGACCACCATATCATTCGTCATCGTCACCTCCCACGCCTCGCCCGCCACTGCTGATCAACACCGCAGTGTCATATTCATGTCGGTACTTTAAAAAAAGTGAATTTTCTCCATACAGGGTTTTGTGCTTCTGCTGCTAGAATGCATCTATGAAGTCTCTATATAGTACATGTGATCAAATTTACTCCTCTCCGATGTCCATAATTACCATCTACTCCCTATGTTCCTAAATCTCTTAGATTCTGACATTAACATGATACTATACTGACATTTGGTGTAAGTGGTATTGTTTTAGAATGACGAGGTGGTCCTCACGCCCCGGCGTCGATCTATTCTGGCTCCCCGCCTCATGCTCCGCATGGATCTATCTCCGTCTTCCTTTCTCCTAGTATTCCTGCTTGAAGCCGTTGTCGCTACCGCCAGGCCCACATCAATCAGCCGCCACCATCTCTTGGGTTTCGCATAGAAATGGGGCAGAGCAGAGGCCAAGGGAAGGAAACGGGGTGAGGCAGGGCGGCAAGCAAGAATAGAAATTAAGTGTATTTTAGTTCAGAGATATATAGGTGATCTTGTTCAGTTTAGTTCGCATACTGAACAGTAGTTCACTGAGGTGAGGATTTTGCATTAGGTACAGCTACCTATGTAAAACATCCAGAACCTCAACCCAGCTGATATTGGATGTCCAAACTGAATCATTGCATCCCTAAACATTGAATCATGGTTGAGTTTTTAACTCTCAAGAATCTGCGTAATTATGGCCATATGCACTGCCATTTTATTTAGATACGCAGACCAATAGTACACTGATAAACAGAGCAACAACACAGAAGTTTCAAGTTTTAAGATTTTTAAAAAATAGTTAGTGCCAAAGCAAGATATAGGACTAAATCTGTTTATATGTTCGAGAAAGAAAATTACCAGACTGAGCTACACAAGCATGGTATAAAATTCGTCGTTGCAAATTTGAGTCGATGCCCCTGTAAGGTTGTAACTTCAAACAACAAGTCATGTTGCATTTTCTCGACGCATTCTCGACATGTCAAGATTCCATCACATAAATCCACAAAAATTTAAAACCTACAGAAAGATCAAACTGAATTAGTTCGAAGAACACTCTGAAATTTGATATGGAATGTCACCAGCGACAGTGCATTCAGAACCTGCATGTGGGCCAGTATATGGTCTGTATTGACACTCTGATTCATGTTTCAACTTGCAATAATAAGGATATATTCCCAAGCATCCAAAGTTCTGGAACTTGTACAGAACCTCTAGAGAGGCGCCAACCTTCTCCAAAGCATTTATGAACCCTTGGCTTGCATTCAGAACAAATAGCATGGACATTGGAGCACTACACACACAAATGCAACAGTAGTAAAAGAACCTCTAGACACATTCATAACTTTCTTTCTGAGCTTAAGGATTTGTAGTGTAAATTCTAAATAATGAGATATGAGCCCTCCTTGTAGAATCAATTGACAAGGAACAATCTGGACAACGTTGAAAATGAAAAAAGAGAGCGTGCAATCTGTAAGTTCAAAATATTTGCAGGGGGCTAGTCGGGGGTAGGCATGATGCATCAGGTGGTTAAAATAAAGAAAGGGATGTCACCTATTAGTGTGAAAGGGATTCATAGAAAAAGGTCACAAACCAAAACCCTATTTTAGCTTTGCCTACCTTGGTCGGCAATGTTTCTTTTGCAACTGGGTATTCTTATATATCGGCATACACATAGAAAGCCAAAAACCTAGTTACACCGTGGAGCTCGAAGGGAACCAAACACCTGATGAATGTGATTAGTTCGGCAAGAAGACATACCTGATGAATTGGAGGATACATGGGAACCAAACACATGGGGCATTCCAATAGCTCACGCCCATTTCTAGAAACCATGACATTTGGATTCCGTGAATGCTTGATAACACCACAGACAAGTTCTATGACATCTAACATCCCATTCTTTGGAGGGTCGATAACTTCAGCATAAATGTTGTCGAGATAGCCAGTTTACGCCATAACCAAACCTATAGATACAGATACATGTATGGATGAGAAATATTTAGGATTGGAAGCAAATAGAAAGATAGCATGAATTAATCCTGGGTGTAAAAAATGCCATGTCAATCTCAAAGGATGGCTGCAACCTGATATAACTCTCAAGACAAGTATTATCAGTAACATTACGTCACCGGCGATACATAGAACTGATACATTAATCCACAAATATATTCTCCTTGGAAGAAAAGATATATGTCAGTGGCGATACATAAAGGATCTATCAAGAGTGCTTGTATCCACTATACAGAGAACATTTCTCTCTGTCAAATAACCTCATAGTAAATTAAATAGATTTTTGGAAGAAAAACCTGATCTAAGTCCATGGGGTACCAGGGAATAAAATCATTGGGGTACTGGAAAAAACATTCAGTAAAAACACATTCCTCGAAGTGAGAAATATTCAGTCCAAAACTACATCAAGATTGAACCTCATACAATTTTCAAGACATGTCATTTATGCTTCTCTTATATGACTTTCCAATTTCTTTGCTTGGAAAGCAAACATATACTGGATGAATTATGAGAATTACCAGAACTCTTCTGCATCAGATTGTAGTTACACACAATGATTGTAAATGATTTGACATTTAATCCAACTACTAAAATAATAAGGAGAGCATACGGTTGGAGAGACATACACAGTCCAGAGCAAAAGGGAGTGGATTCATAGCTTTGTGCTCAGCGTCACCAATGCAACTGACCCATACTAATGGTGTCATCTCTGGAGACTGCAGCAGTAGGTTGCCAAATAATGGCGCAAGAAGTAATAGCAGCAGCCTTCGAGCTCCACGGTGTAGCTGGTACATAAGAAGAGAATCACACTGGATATTGTTCTTGTCTTTCTAGAAAAGAGAAAAAATGATTGGATTCCGGGTTTTTACACGCAGTAGAGCTAGCCATCAACATGCCATGGACACTATGAAGCTAGCCTTTGTAGCACAGGATTTTTTGTGCCTATCCAGGAGTAAAAAAAAGAGTTCTTAGAATAGATCCTTTGAAAATAATTCCTTGAATAAATTTCTCTAGAAGCCCATAAACAAGTCAGGGAGAAAAAGAAAGGAACATCACATGCATCTAGGAAAAACACATGCCTGGGACAACCTCTATGTGGTGGTAAATTGCTAGAAAGGGGAGCAAGAATGCATGTTCTCCCAGATTTGTATACGTAGTTGCATCACACATGCATACATTGTTCTACCAAGGATGCATATACAGTCTGCATTAACGCACACCTATCCCTCTTCCAACAGAATGAAGCAAGCAATGTATTGTATCAACCATATGAATGACATGCTTGTAGTCAATTAAGTACATGTGTCAGCAATCAGAACAAGAATAACCAAGTTCTTCGACCAAAGTTCAAACTTATCAAGTGGGATAAAATTTGAAACCGTAAATTCAAAGAACAAACTAAAATTCAAGATCATCAAGACGATAGCAAGCGAACCATTTTTGTGAAGTTGTCGTACTCGAAATCTCAGTCAATAATGCGACCAGTGAAGTCACGTAGCACCTAGGAAAAAGCATAGATTGATTTGCTTAAATTAAATTTGATTTATGCGGCAGTTTTTTTAGAGAATAAGTGAGAAAAACTGCACATAATATTTGGGTATTGTTTCCATATGAGCAGGGGGAAATGTTATAATCCACATCACCAGCATCCTCTGTTATCCCATCTTCTTGTGTGCATTAGTACATTTTTTCTAAATTCTGCTTGTTAAAACAGGGTCAAACTAAAAACATGAAACTAACAAAAGGCTGATTGTATCCAGAACTTGATAATAAATAAAAAGCTCTTGACTTCACCGCAAGAAAAAGCAGGAACATGTTAACATGAAGCTGGCTATATAACATATTAATATGGTTTAGGATCTCAACTGAAACAAATACAATAGTCTTATTTTGCTACTGGTGTTATTACTGT